AGTTTAAGGAATGGGATTTGGGATGGGATGGGATTGGAACTTTATCCCATACCCATATAGTATGGGTAACAAGTATACTTCCAACTGACACATTTACAGCATTCACCGATTATAATTAATTACTCCTTAAAAATCAAACAATCGCATCGTTACGATTTACATATAAAATTTTTTTTTATTAAATGCTAATATGCTATTAATGCTACAAATGTTTCTATCGCTAAAACGGTGGATAATGATGACGAATTTGAAGATGAAATTGATAAATTGGTTGAATTTATCGAGAAAATTCATTTTTTTTTTTTTTTTTTTTTTTGATATTTAACTATTAACACACATATTAGCAAAAATAACAATTTTGGTCAAAGAAAATCAAGAGAATCGTTTAAACTCTTGAGAGCCACATAAATTCCGAAATTTTCATCATCCTTAATGGGTGAAATGACGCCCTCTTTTTCCGCATCACTATGAGATTCATTGTTAAGATTTTCAAGGTACCTTATCCATTCTTGTTTCTCTTTATACTTACAAATCGATCCATCAAATGATGCTGAATCCATCTCTAGCAATATATTTAAACGATCATAAGGTATCTATACTAATAATTCATATTTATTTCTTGCTTTCAATTGAGTTTCCTGGATAAATTTATCTATATGTTCATCACTCGTCCAGTTACTGAAATTTTGTTGTAATATTTTAGAATTGCAGTTACGATAAGATTTTGTTTAGATCGGTATACTGTGTCAAGTTCATTTCACGTAATATATTAATAATATTGCGTAAGTTAAAAGGTTACACATACTGTATTAAGTACATGTCATGTGTAAATAAAAAACAATTCTGGCTTGATTTAGTAGGGGTATAACGACACACGCCACTTTTTTATCACGCTAATTGGGCGGCCAATACTTTTTATACCCCCTGTATATAGCACTGGGGTAATACTAGTCTATGGAAATGAATATCACGGAAATTCGAACCCGTAGGTCAAGCAATATTTCGCGAATATTGTTTAGCTCGTAATCATAATAGAAAACCACCGCTAATGCAAATCTTATCAAGAGCAAAAAAAAGAGTGCGTTCGAAATGTTTAGCAAAAATAGAAACGTCGTCGTTTGAAATTTGAACACAATTTTAGGTATGAGGAATGAAATGTATGATGGGAAAAATATGCTTCTTTTATGAAAAAGAAAATAAAATGATGTGATATTTTTCTTATATAACATTTGGAAATATCTTATAGTTTCCTTCGAAATTTCCATTTCTTATTGTTGTTGTGTAGACGAAATATGAAAATTTTTTTAATTTTTAAAATAATTTAAAGTTACAATATTATCATCAATAAGATCCTGATAAAAAAAATCATTTTTTGTACAATAATATGATCACCAAATTAAAAATTTCATATACAATATGATCCGTCCATAATCATGTCACGCAAATTTTATAAGAGAAAGATATATTTTATGAAAGGACCTTCCATGATAGAGATTGGAATCATAATGACTACTAAAGATTTTTTTTGACTAACTATAGTCGATTATTAATGATCGAAGAAATAATGATGTTTCAAATATTCAAAATAATTTGGAAGCTTAACAAATAACTCTATACATATCAAGTAAGATCAAATAAATCTTCTTGAAAATAGCGAATACTTCGAAAGTATGCATCGAGGATAAATATATACTAGGGAATTGTTTCGGAATCCATTGTTAAGTCCGGGACCAACCGCGTATCGACTCAAATTTTGAACAGGCGGACAGCGCGAAATCTGTATCACCTTGCATAGACATATATAGTCCTTCGCTTCTAATTAATTATTTGAAATTGTACTTGATTGTTTGATGGGCTCATCTAAAAAGAAAAAAAAAATAAAGTTTAACAGTTAGGACTTTTTAAAACGATCTTTATTAAAAATTTCAAGCTTAATAAAATATGCAAAATGAAGAGTTGTTATATAAGCTCAAAACCTTTTACCTCAAATTCTACACCACATGAAATAATAACGTAGCTCAAAATATTTGTGTCTTATATAGTTAAAGAACAGAAAAGGAAAAAAAAAAGCAGTAACCTGTATTTGAAAAAAGTAATTTATATATATTGACGCTTAAATTTTATAAATTTCACTAATTTAATAAATTTATCAGTTGATTTTTAACGGGAATAATGTCATAAAAGAAAATTTGCGATGCATTATATTTTGGCTTATCAATATTAAAATTAACGAAGAAAATTTCGTAAATTTTTTATTATTTAGGCACGTGACACAAAACATGAATAATTCATTCGAAATGTTTTAATTCAACACTTGTGCTACCTCTATATGGAATGATTCCTGAGGAATCATAAATCTTTACAAAATAATAAAATAAAAGTTTAAATGAAAAACCATAATATAAACCATTTCAGCTAATAATTAAATAATCACTTTACTTGAAAAATAGCGCAGTTTAAATTATATTTGTAAAGGTTCATCTTATATATTATATTAATTCCAATCTTTTAGCACGCATTGATCCGCTGTTCTATCATCATGATGAAAGAAGCATATCCCAGGTTGGTGAGACCGATAAACGTAAAATTGGATGTTAAAATAATTGCAATGAATAATTATAAAGTTGACAATTTCTTTCGGACTTGCACTTGTAAGATTAGCCCATGCTAATAAAGAATCGTTAGTGGAACTCATCATTGATGTCGAACTGAAACCAGAAATTCCACAAGGTACGTCGTTAATGATTCTTTTAAATTTATCAATCAATTATAGCATTGTTTCTCGTTTTGTTGACTTAATTAACCCATGCGATAACATATGATATCTTTAAATAAGGATTAGAATTATTTCTACCAAAATCGAATTTAACGAAAGTCGAATTAAAATGTATCAATTTTTAGTGGCGTTAGGGAGTCCTGATGCGTATTTAACATCCACCATCACCCTGGTGTCAAGTATTATTCGATCGCTTCATCTCGAAGCGATTAAACCCATAAAATAAAGTACAAGTTAAGATAATTAAGGAAATTGCCTTATCTACTTCCAGAATCAAATTAAACCGAAAAGTACCTAAAAAAAAAAAGTTCATTCAAGCTAAAGGGCGGATAGATGAAAATGTTCGATCGCAGCGTGCTTGAAGAAAATAAACTTATCCGAAAATAAAGAGAAAAAAGAAATATCGCGGGCTGAAGCAAAAGTAGAAAATAATACCATTAATGAAAAA